AGTGATAGCTTTAATCTTGCTCCTTTCTTCCCACCATTTAGATAAAAAGTTTTACGATACCAATCATAGAACTATTCCCCGCTTCCTCACAGCATCCAAATCAGAACAAAGCCCCTTTCCTTGAATCCTTCCCAGAAACCTAACACAAGCTCAAATCCTGTAATAAGTCATTTACAACATCTCTTACTGAGATGCCTCCCAGTTTCTCGTATTGTGTGGTCTCCCTCATTGCAATGAGTCAGTACACCCAACTTTGTTCAATTATAGGTTTGTTCTTGATAGCCTTTGACAGGAGGGCATTGACACTGCAAATTGGACTTCTTTTTCACTGAAAAGATCCTGATTTTTTAAAAATTTATTATTTTTTTTATTTTTTTTATTTTTTTTTGAATGCCTCCGGTCTTAGTTGTGGCACGCAGATCTTCGTTGAGGCATGTGGGATCTTTCTTTGTGGCACATGGGTTTCTCTCTAGTTGTAGCGCTGGGGCTTCTCTCTAGTTGTGGCATGTGGGTTTTCTCTCTCTAGTTGTGGCACGTGGGCTCCAGAGTGTATGGGTTCTGTAGTTTGCGGCACACGGGCTCTCTCATTGAGGCGCACGAGCTCAGCAGTCGTGGCCCGCGGGCTTAGCTGCCCCGCGGCATGTGGGATCTTAGTTCCCTGACCAGGGGTCGAACCCCCATTCCCTGCATTGGAAGGAGGATTCTTTACCACTGGACCACCAGGGAAGTTCTGAAAAGATACTGAGTTTTTAAAAGTTGACTCAAAACAAGTTTTTTTCTTCTTTGAATTTTTGAATTTTAATTTTTTTATACAGCAGGTTCTTATTAGTTATTTTATACATATTAGTGTATATATATCAATCCCAATCTCCCAAAACAAGTTTTAAGCACTATGAAATCATACAAACTAGGTTTATGGGTTTTATTTGGCCTGAGGGCTGCCAGTTTGTAACCTTTCAGTTGGATGATCTCCCCTCTGGATATGAAGGTTGATACTGCTGTGAATGGTTAACAGCTTCAGGATGTAAGCTGAACCAGGGATAGAACACATACTTTCACATGTACTATTTCATTTAATGTTCTTTTCTACTTAAATCATTCAGAACTCTCTTGACTCTATTCATGCTGTGCCAGTTGCAAGGTTGACTGCTGCCTGTTTGCCTATAAATGAGGTCAGATCCCTATTTTACAGGAAGATGCTGATGTATACCTGTTCCCTTCTCACTGTCAGCTGGTAGCCATAGGAACTGTGATCAAGCAAACAATAACACCTCCATGATCGAATCCTCAGGGAACAAAGTTCATTTTAATGAAGTTGGCCTGATCACAGAGGAATCTGGGGGATTTTCTGGGCTTCTCAGCGTTGTGCCGTCTCCTGACTTTAAGCTGGCTCTGGAGGAGAAGAAAGTGGAGCTGTCTCAGGTATGGGCTTCTTACTGGGAGCTGGAGCTTGAGCCTGGCAGAGAAAGGCTGTGGGGAAAATCCTTCCAGGCCTGCTTCTCCTGAGAAGAAAGCAGAAGAGCCTTGTATACCAGGTCCTGTGGTCTCTGAGGGCATTGCTAGTTCTGTGAGTGTATGAATTGAGCCTAGAAGGATTCTAGCATAACTCAGGGTGTTGGCTAAAATATCTTTAAGGACTCTGCCAGCCCTGGAATCATAGGAGCAAGGGACCCAATTCTATGATATCTGCTTTGGCCTGTGAAGATGGGAAGGAACAGAAAAGGCTTTAGGCTAAGTGATGGTTTATACCCCACTAACTCACTTCCCTTTCTGTATCCCTGCCATTCCACACACCATACATCCTCCATTCATTCTGTTCTCCAAAAAGCCCAGGGACTTTAGCCTTCCTCTGACTACCTGAGGTGAGCCCTGGGAACCCTTAAGCCCACCAAACCCCTGCCTTTCCCTTTTCCTCTTCTTCATGGGCCAAGGTTTCTGCCTCAGTTTCCCTGCATGACAAAACAGTTTCCCTAGGGCTGGAGCTAGCCCCAGCCCCCTTTGCAGCCCAGAGCCCCCTGGCCAGTGCTGGCTCTTGGGCTCATTACAGCCTTCCTGTGCTCATAATGTCAGTCTGGGCCTTACTGTAGAAGAGACTGATTACTCAGAATATAGCCACTACAGGGAACCCCTGACTGCCTCTCACATAATATATGGATCTTAACACCTGAATCAAGATACTTTGGATACTGTCCAGTGAGCCGTGGCCACCATCTTTCAAGGAGTGGCTCAGTGGCAAGATCAAGTTCCCAGTCCAAGTCTCCAGTCCCATTCTTATCTCCTTTCTCACTGAGAGAGAGACAGAGAGACTGAAGACAGAAAGTTCTAAAAACGATGTGACATTTTTCTATCAATCAATCACCTAAGGCAATGGAGGGTTGAATCCTTATCCATCCTTGCCCAATATGCACCTTTGAGGCTTCTTTTATCATTAAAAAAATTTAAATTATTATTGGAAGGGTAATATACATGATAAAGAGTTCAAACAGTAACAGAGTATACAGTGTAAAATAAGGTTTTCCCCCACCTTGACCTCTAATACTCTAGTCCTCCTCTCTAGAGGCAGCCACTGTTCAGAGTTTCTTGTTTATCTTTCCAAGATATTCTATGTACATACAAGCACGTGTGTACCTAATGTCCTCCCTTTTGTGAAACACACATATTGGCATACTATACGTTTTCCTGCATTATACTCTTTCCACTTGATATATCTTGGAGCTTATTCCATGTTTGTACAAATAGATATGTCTCATCCCATATAGCAGCTTCAGAGTAGTATTCTATTACGGATATACTATAATTTGTATAAGGCCCTACTGGTGGGACAATTAAGTTTTTTTTAATATTATAAACCATACCTCAGTGAATATCTTTGTAATATTTCTTGGAATACTTGAATGAGTAAATGTGATAAGTTCCTAAAAGTAGAATTTCTGGGTCAAAATTTATGTTCAGCTTGATAGATATTTTCACTTTGTCCTGCAGAGAGCGTAAGTCAGTCAGTTTACACTCCCATCAACATTATGGGCGGGCCTATTTTCCCACAACCTCACCAACAGAGTATTTCCAGACTTTTGATCTTGGTGTGGCTTTATTAGTTTATTCATCAAAATAATACACATATATTATTGCCAGGCCCTGAGATGGCAATAATAATGATTCTAGGGGCTTCCCTGGTGGCGCAGTGGTTGAGAGTCTGCCTGCCAATGCAGGGGACACGGGTTCGAGCCCTGATCTGGGAGGATCCCACATGCCGCGGAGCAACTAGGCCCGTGAGCCATGACTACTGAGCCTGCGCATCTGGAGCCTGTGCTCTACAACAAGAGAGGCCGCGACAGTGAGAGGCCCGCCCACCGCGATGAAGAGTGGCCCCCGCTTGCCGCAACTAGAGAAAGCCCTCGCACAGAAACGAAGACCCAACACAGTCAAAAATAAATAAATAAATAAATAAATTAAAAAAAAAAAAAAGAAGCAGGGCTGTCAGGTTAGCTGTCATCTCAGCTGCTTCTCCTAACCTTTAAAAAATAAAAAAATAATAATAATAATTCTACAAGAATGTAGAAATAAATTAGATGGGTCCCGAACCTTGCCTTGATATAGACATACAAACTATAATTTTTTTTTTCAGACTATAATATTATCTGGAAAATGCAACAGTGGTACAGGTACAAAGGTAGCCCAAAGAAGGGAGGGGTTAATTTCATGTTTGGGGAAAAGTGGGGACTGTTCACAGCCGGGGAAAACTTTGTGAAGAACCTGATATCTGAAATAAGCTTTGAAGAATTCATTTATTTAACAGATTTGTGTGTAGCGCCTTCTACGTGCCAAGCACTGTCTGAGTCCTTAGGATACATTAGTGGCCATAGATTCCTGCCCTCATGAAGTTAATGTTCTAGTGAGGGGGCAGCCAGTAAACAGTAGACTTAATGAATAAATAAATTATGTAGTATGTTACAAGGTGATGGGCACTATAGAAAAATAAAAAGCAAAGTAGGGTAAGGGGATCAGGAGTGTCTGTGATGGAGGGGGACGTGAATAGCAATTTTAAGTAAAGTAGTCGTGTAGCCCTTGTCGAGAAGGTGACCTTTGAGAAAAGGCTTGAAGAAAGTGAGCAAGTTAGCCAAGCAGATATCTAAGGAAAACTGCAGGCAGTGAGAAGAGCCAGCAGCACAAAGGCTCTAGGATGAGAGTAGACCTGACATAATTGAAAAGCAGCAAGGAGGCCAGTGGACTGAGAGAGGGAGAGGACAGTAGGAAATGGGGTCAGAGAGATGATAGGGGGCTGGAGCTTGGAGGGCCTTATAGGCCATAGAGACAACCTTGGCTTGTTTTTTCTCTCTGGGTCCTCGCATTGCTGTTCCTTCTACCTGGAATCCTCATCCCCCAGACCTTCACACAGAGAACTCATTCACATCCTTCAGGCATCAGCTCAAATGTCACGTCCACAAAAAAAAAAAACCTTCTCTGATCTTCTTATTTAAAGTGACCTGTCTCTTATTCCCTGTATCTTCATATTCATTTCCTTTATATCCATTTCAGATTTACTTGTCTATCTTTCTCACTACAGTAGAAGCTTTATGAGGTCTGGAGCATTATCTAACTCATTCGCCATTATAAGCCCAGTACCAGACACAAAGAGTTGCTCTGTAAATATTTGCTGAATGAATATGGGTGGAAAAGGAGAGAAGGATGATTTTTTTAAATAGGAATATAGTTGCTTTTTTTAACATTTAAAAATATTTATTTCTTTTTATTTCTTTAATTTTTTTGGCTGTGTTGGGTCTTCGTTGCGGCGTGCAGGTTTTCTCTAGTTGCGGCAAGCAGGGGCTACTCTTCATTGCAGTGCGCAGGCTTCTCATTGCGGTGGCTTCTCTTGTTGCGGAGCATGGGCTCTTCTCTTGTTGCGCATGGGCTTCAGTAGTTCCAGCATGCAGGCTCAGTAGTTGCGGCATGCGGGCTCTAGAGCGCAGGCTCAGTAGTTGTGGTGCATGGACTTAGTTGCTCCGCGACATGTGGGATCTCCCCGGACCAGGGCCCGAACCCGTGTCCCCTGCATTGGCAGGCAGATTCTTGACCACCGCACCACCAGGAAAGCCCGAGAAGGATGACTGAGGAAGCAGTGAGAGATGAGAGGGGATCTGGAGCACAGTGGAGGGGTTGGCTTTGGGCTGGAGGAGGGACACATCTTCCACTGTGAACAGAGACAAGGAGGAAAGTTTGGACAGGTATGCAGGGTATGTAGGGTGAGGGGCTGTGTGACAAGTGTAGATGATAAAGGATTTCATAAGTGATGGCCTCTTTCTGGTAAGATCATCTGCTGACAGTTCAGATGGACGTTTCAGAGGTTGGAAAAAGGATTTGAGGAGAGTGGGAGAGATTTAGAACAGTTGCTGGGGGGAATGGGAGAGAGAATTCACCAACATTTTTAGAATACCATGTGCCAGGTACTGTATTGAGTGTTGAGGTTATAGAGATGAGGAGGATGTGACACAGTCTTTGCCTTTCAGGAATTCACAACCCAAAGGAGATAGATTTTCTACAAGAAAGTTAAAATGCAAGGTGCCGTGTACTGTAATGAAAGGAGTGTTGTGGAAGCATGATGGGGGTGGAGGCTCAATTCTGAGGGTGGAGGAAAAACATCACAGTGGCTGTGACCTTTGAGGTTGTTTGAAGAAAGAGAAACTGTACAAGGTAGAAGTAAGTGTGTTCCATGAAGAGTACAGTGCTAGCCTAAACTGTGGCGGTGTGGAAGAGCTAGAAGTGCAAGATGTTTATGTGGCTGGAGTGAAAAATGGAAAGATGATGCTGGGTGGTTGAGGCTAGGTTGTGAAGGATGTCCCAGGAGGTGGAACTTTCTCCTGGAGTCAGCAGAGGTCTTTAGGAGGGCAGTGGAATCTTGAGATTGCTCTTTTAGAAAGCTAATTGAGTAGGCAATGTGCGTGATGTATTGAAGGGGGGAGAAACTGGAGGCAGTGAGAAGGGTTAGGAGATAGCTGCAGTAGTCCTAATGCAGTAGGCATGAAGAGGAGGGGAAGGGTACCAGAGACAATTCTGATGGTGGATGCAATGGGTGGGGTAAAGGGAGAGGGTGGAGTCAAGGCTGACTCATAGGTTTCTTACCTGGGAGACTGGGTCGATGGTTCTCCTGTTACCTGAGATGAAGATGCAGTAAAAGGAGTATATATTAAGGAAAAGTAATAAGCTCAGTTTTTTGAATAGTGGAAAAATACACATAATATACAATTTACCATTTTAAAGAGTACAATTCAGTGGCATTAAGTACATTCACAGTGTTGTGCAATTATCACACCTATCTAGTTCCAACATATTTTCATCACCCCAAAGGAAACCCTAAACCCATTAAGCAGTTATTTCCTAGTCTCCTTTCTGCCCATCCCCTGGCAACTACCAATCTGCTTTCTGTCTCTATGGATTTGCCATTTCTGGATATTTCATATAAATGAAATAATACAATATGTACACTTTTGTGTCTGGCCTCTTTCACTTAGCATAATGTTTTCCGGGTTCATCCATGTTGTAGCATGTGTTGGTGTTTCATTTTTTTCCTCCAGTTTTTTACTGTGGTAAAATACACAGAATATAAAATTTACCGTTTTAACCATCTTTAAGTATACAGTTCAGTGGCATTACATACATTCACATTGTGCAGCTATCACCACAATCCATCTCTAGAACTTAATCAAGGACTTGAACAAGAAACAGACACAGAAGGACTTGGAGTGTACGTTGCTGCTATGGCGGGAGCTCCAGGCCATACAGCTGCCCTCATGTATTTTGTTTTGTTTTTTTTTTTTTGGCTGTGCTCTGTGGCATATGGGATCTTAGTTCCCCGACCAGAGATCAAACCCGTGCCCCCTGCATTGGAAGCGTGAAGTCTTACCAGTGGACTGCCAGGGAAGTCCCATGCCCTCATATACTTTGGGGTTCTGTTGATAGGTGTGTATAAAGTTTATAATTGTTATATCTTCTTGATTAATTGACACTTTCATCAATATATAATGTTCTTCTTTGTGTCTTGAAACAATTTTTGACTTAAAGTTTATTTTGTCTGATGTTAGCATAGCCATCCCTGGCTCTCTTTTGGTTACTATTTGTATGGAATATCTTTTTCTATCCTTTTACTTTCAACTTGTTTGTGTCTTTGACTCTAAAATGAGGCTCCTGTAAATAGCATACAAATTTTTTCTTTTTTTAAATCCATTCTGCCAATCTCTGCCTTTTGACTGGAGAGTTTAATCCTTTTACATTTAAAGTAATTACTGATAAGGAAGAACTTACTTCTGCCATTTTGTCATTTGTTTTCTGTATATCTTTTTTGTTCTTCAGTTCCTCCATTACTTTTATGTTTATTTGATTTTTATTTTTAGTAATGTACCATTTTCATTCCCTTTTCATTTCCTTTTCTGTATATTTTATAATCATTTTCTTAGTGGTTACCCTCAGAATTACAATGAGCATCTTAAACTTATAACAACCTAGTTTGAATTAACACAGCTTAGCTTCATACCATACAAAAATTCTGCTCCTATACAGCTCTGTCCCTCTCCCTTTATATTGTTATTATCACAGATTATATCTTTATACATTGTGTGTCAGTTAACAGATCTAAATTATCATTTTATGCATTTGTCTTATAAGTCATATAGGAAAAAATGAGGAGTTACAAAGCCAATTATACTGACTTTTATATTTACCTGTGTAGTTACCTTTACCAGTATTCTTTATTTCTTTGTATAGCTTCAAGTAACTGTTTAGTGTCCTTTCATTTCAGCCTGAAGGACTCCCTTTAGCATTTGTAGGGCAAGTCTGTTAGTAGTGAACTTTTGGTTATGTGGGACTCTTAATTTCTCCTTTATTCTTTTTTTTTTTTAGGCTACGCTGGGTCTTAGTTGTGGCATGCGGACTCGTAGTTGCAGCATGCATGTGGGATCTAGTTCCCCTACCAGGGATCAGACCCGGGCCCCCTGCATTGGGAGTGCGGATTCTTACCCACTGGACCACCAGGGAAGTCCCTCCTTTATTCTTGAAGGACAGTTTTGCAAGATATAGAATTCTTAGTTGACAGTTTTTTTCTTTCTGCATTTTAAGTATGTCATCCCACTGATTTCTGACTACCATGTTTTCTGATGAGAAATTGTCTATTAATCTATTGAAGATCCCTTGTACATTACAAGTTGCTTCTCTTTTGTTGCTTTCCGTATTTTCTCTTTAGCTTTGGCCTTGGACAGCTTGATTATCACGTGTCTGTGCGGATCTATGAGTTTATCCTACTTGGAGTTCATGAAGCTTCTTGGGTGCCTATATATAAAAATAAAATTTGGGAAATTTTCAACTACTCTTTCTTCAGATATTCTTTCTGCCCTTTTTTCTCTCTCGTCTCCATGTAGGGTTCCCATTACTTTCATATTAGTATTATTGATGGTGTCCCACAAGTTTCTCAGGCTTCCTTTATTTTCATTCATTCTTTTTTCTTTATGCTCCTCAGATTGAATAATTTCACTTGACCTATCTTCAAGTTCACTGATTCTTTCTTCTGTCTGCTCACATCTTCTGTTGAACTGCTCTAACGAATTTTTCATTTTAGTATTTCCTGACGCTTTGACATTTGGGGTCTTGCTGACCTGGAAGATACTGCACCTCTGAGGGCTAGCCAGTTCCTAGAGAGAGGAAAGGACTCATCTGCAAGTGTGTCTTTCATATGCAAGTCAACCAAATCAAAGCCTACACCCCCAACCACCTCCTTTATCAAACCTCTTACACTCTAGGCCACTATCCCTCTGTCCTAATCACCCCAGGGCCAGATACCAGAGAACAGGGACAGCTCCAACACCCAAGAACCCAGTGAAGTTAATCAAACTAACCAATCCAGAGTATGCTTACCCTGCTTCATCCATTCCTTCTCATGTTTCCACAAAATGTGGGGCTCTTGCCCCACATTTTCTTCCCACTCCCACTGCCTCCTGACTGACCCTGGTGCTTCCCCATGTTGCCCTGTGTGGTGTGCTTTGCCTTTTGCTTCTAGGTATCTCTGAGTATAAAAACTTCTCCTTTCATGACATTAATTTCTGTGTCTGTTGTCTTATCATACCCAACTAAAACAAATTCTGTGTACATTTTAAAACATCATTGTACTTTTTAAAAACATTATTGTACTTTTCAGTTCCTAAGTTTCTATTTAGTTCTTTTTTTATAATTTCTAGCTCTTTATTGATATTCTCTATTTGTTGAGACATTGTTCTCCTGGTTTCCTTTAGTTCTTTGTCCATGTCTTTAGCTTGTTGAGCACATTATAGACAGTTGATTTAAAGTCTTTGTCTAGTAAGTCCAGAATCTGTGCTTCCCAGGGACAGTTTCTATTACTTTCTTTTTCCTGTGAATGGGCTGTATTTTATTGTTTCTTTGCATGCTAATTTTTTGCTGAAAACTGAACATTTTGAAATGATGTTGTGGAGAAAAGAGAGAGAAAAGGAGAAGAAAAGGGGGTGGGGAAGAGAGGAGAGGAAAAGAAAAAATACTTTCCAGGTCTTTGCAGATTGTCTCTGTGTCGGTGCACTCCTTCAACACTTAGCCAGGCCATTTACAGCTCTGCCTTAGCCTTCACTTCCTGCTGTGCTGAACCTAGAGACCAGCCAGAGGTGAAAGCTATGGTCTTCTCAGGCATTTTCTGAGCATGCATCCTGTCCTGGATGTGGGAGCTTTTCAAAGCCCTATTTACCAAAGATCCTCATTTCCCTTTTTTTTTTTTCCTCTCTGGAGTTTTGTATGTCTCTTGTTTGTCTCACCTGTTCTCTTTTGTCTTGGATGGCATTGGCTTGTTCATTTGGCTTTTAATGTTTTCTAGGAATATTCTCCATGAAGGTATGTCTCTGCCCTGAGAGTGTTCTGAGTTAGGCAAAACAGGTGCATCAGTCCTTCAGGGAACCCATGGGTAGGTCAGAACAAACAAACATAATTCCTGGGAACAAGATTCACTCGGTTGTCTCTGGGGCCAGATACCCACACCAGGAGCACAGGCTTCTGTCTTTAAGACTGCCACTGTGCCAGGAGGGAAGTGGAGCAAAGCTAACATTAAAACACCACAAAGCTATCCTACCCTGTTTCTGTGACCTTTCTCTTGATTAAGCATTCACTTAGTTGTTATAAACCTTTTTTTTTTTTTTTTTTTTTGTGGTACATGGGCCTCTCACTGTTGTGGCCTCTCCTGTTGCGGAGCACAGGCTCCGGACGCGCAGGCTCAGTGGCCATGGCTCACGGGCCTAGGCGCTCCACGGCATGTGGCAATCTTCCCGGACCGGGGCACGAACCCATATCCCCTGCATCGGCAGGCGGACTGTCAACCACTGCGCCACCAGGGAAGCCCTGTTATAAACCTTTGACTATCTCCCAGAGTTCTGATATGTTCATTCTGACAGTTTTTCCCAGGGTTTTTCGGTAATTCTGGGGAGGTATGGCTACTAGAGGTACCTACTCTGTCCTTTTCACTGATGTCCCTCCCTGAGTTCAGTTTTGAACATGCTAAGTGAGGTGCCTAGATGACACCAAGTGTAAACAAAGATATAAATTCCTCAGGCTAGAGATGTTTGTTACATTCACTACTGGATCCCCAGCACTTAGAACAGTCCATGGCACACAGTGGGTACCCAACAAACGTATGTTGAGTGAATGCAGCTTTATAGTAAAAATATGAAAATATGGACATTAAACTTCAATGTATGGCTTAGAGATAGGGATTTCTGAATCATTAGTGTATAGCATCATCATACACTAATCATACACTAACTGAAGCCATTGATGAAAAAGAAGTTTTTATTAAGTTCAAATTACATTAGTAACAAATAAATTCCTTTTTAGGACAAAGCAAAATTACTACTGCCACCTACCTCTCTAAAGTTAATGACTGGCCCTGTTTGTCCTTCTAGACAATTTAATATCTTTTTTTTTTTTTTTTTTTACCAGCTAAGATATACAAATGACAAATAAGCACGTGAAAAGTGTTCAATACCGTTAGTCATTAGGGAAATGCAAATAAAAACCACAATGAGATACCACCTCCAAAGCACTAGGGTGGCTATTATCAAAAAGATAATAACATGTTGGTAAGAATGTGGAGAAATTGGAACCCTTGTGTATT